CGATCGTCACGTCGTTAGTTTGGCACCCAGACGGCTAGGTTCACTCCAACTCTCACCATACTCAACAGGTGGCTCAAACCCAGGTCAGTGGACGGTCATACAGCTCGTTTCACTACTCGTCTCATACCGCCAGTGGACGTTATCATACAGCAGACGTTTCACACTGCGTGGGCTCTACAGAACCCTGAAAAAACCCGAGCTGTTAGCTATTGTCTCACATCATCGTTTGTTTCTACCGCCCTATCTAGCTTTGTCTGAGATTGAATAAAACTTACTTGTTAATACTGATGTTAAATAACGAAGGCACCAGTTCACGTGGTCCGTCTCTCCTGGGTACAGAACAGAGATGGTCCACTGGCATGACCTCCCTCACAACTCCCCAGCCACGCTTCCTCACTGGTTCAAGCTTTTCAGGAGTGACTTATTTACCAGACTATTAACAGCTTAATTAGGACGTACGCAACATTTTCAGACTGGGAAACGATCTAAAATTATTTTTAATTTAATAACTGATATTGAATTTCATAATTCGCCTCCATATTAATTCGGTAAATTACATTTAATATCGTATAGGCCTAGTTCCACAAACTCTCGCTACGTGTGGGAGCGCGGTCTTCCCTCAGACGACCTTGAACTCAGTCTCTCCAATGCCCGTGCCTCGTATGTGGTGTCAGTAGCATTTTACCGAATCCAGCTGGTATGAAACACGAGGTACAATATATATACTTCATTTTTAGTCCATATAACACGTGGACTTTGAACATATAATCAACGACCTCACCAGCCAGGAATCGAACCCTCGACCTACTGGGTGGGACTAGGGAACGCTACCGACCAACCCACAAGGACACTAAAAGCAGTCCTAGACTGTGTTATATTTCACACAAAGCCTGCTCATCGAGCTGATGGCGCCGTGAACCTCATTGGGAAACTGCCCGTGCCTCGTATGTGGTGTCAGTAGCATTTTACAGAATTCAGCTGGTTCGATTCCTGGCTCGTGAGGTCGTTGATTATATATATATATATGTATGTGTGTGTATAATAATAATAATAATAATAATAACAATAATAATAATAATTAACGGTTTATTGAAAAAATTCTGCAGCCCGAAGGCTGAAAACATACATTGGACATAAATGACTTATTACAAACATTGGTGGCTTAACAAAGGCCTTCATTAGAGAAAGGTAAAGGAACATACAGTGAACATACAGATTAATGTAGGTGTTGAACAGCAAACGCGTAGTGTAGTAACTCCCTCCCAGATGGTGTTAGGAGGAACTCACGTGGTGTAGTAGTTCCCTCAGATGGTGTTATGAGGGACCTGGCGTGGTGTAGTAATTACCTCACAGATGGTGTTATGAGGGACCTCACGTGGTGTAGTAATTACCTCACAGATGGTGTTATGAGGGGCCTCACGTGGTGTAGTAACTCCCTCACAGATGGTCTTATGAGGGGCATCACGTGGTGTAGTAATTCCCTCACAGATGGTGCAATGAGGGACTTGACGTGGTGTAGTAATTCCCTCACATATGGTGTTATGAGGGACATGTGGTGTAGTAATTCTCTCACAGATGGTGTCATATGAGTGAGGTTTGGTCTTAGGCCTTCCTATCGAAGACGGATTAACACATCGCTGGATGTTGTTGGGTCTCACGGGCCGTTATCACTGGGTACCTGGGACCTCACTATGTGAAGGTTAACTTGGGTACGACTTTTACTGTTGAGTTGTTCTCACTGACTTATGCACTGTTCACCACTGTTCACCTCTGTTTAACACTGGTTCCGTTCCTTTCCTAAATGAAATTGTAACTTCTGGCGAGAACTTGTTGATATTCCGGTGGGGAGGAGGGTTCAGGGGAGGGGGTTGGTATGAGCCAACTTAACAGTTGATCTGGCTGCTCCGAGAGGAGCGCCAGGTATGTCTTGACCCTTCGGTGGTCAAGGATGTGTGTGTGTGTGTGTGTGTGTGTGTGTGTGTGTGTGTGTGTGTGTGTGTGTGTGTGCAAACAGCGATCACAAAGAAATTAGATTCCAGTTAGATTTTCAGGGCAGACGTAAGGAAAATTCCACTGAAGTATCAGATTTCAGAAGGGCAATCTTTGACAGTTTAAAGAGGCAGCTGAGAGAGGGGGTGTCGCGCTTGGCCGTGAACCTGACAGATGACTCCGACCTGATAACGAGATCTAAGATTGCCGAATTCACGACAATTTAAATAATGAGTTACTTAATGCACAAAGGCAGAACATACCATACAAAAAACTCAGATCAGACAACAATGACCCTAAATGGATAAATAATTATTTAAAGAACATCATTGGCCAAAGGAAGGCTGTAGGTAGAAGGATAAAGCGTGGCGAAATTTACCCCTAGGATTATTATAAGACATTGGCGAGTAGGGTTAAAACGGAGATAAGGAAAGCCAAGAGGAATAATGAGGTAAGGATAGCAAGGGAGGTGAAGACAAACCCCAAAGGATTCTACCAAATGTATCAAACTAAAACACGAGAAAAAATTGGACCAATACGGTCAGATACCGGCGAGCTCACTGATAACGACGGAGAAATGAGCAATAATTTGAATAAATATTTTTCAACAGTTTTCACCACTGAAAATTTAAACATGATACCCGAGGCACCGACTCTATTCAGAGATAGCGAAGAAAACAAATTAAGCGAGATAGTAGTGACTAGTAAAGATGTTAGTAAGCAAATAGACAAACTAAAGCCTAATAAGTCACCTGGTCCCGATGAGATATTTGCCAGAGTATTAAAGGAATGTAAGGAAGAGCTTAGTATGCCCTTAGCAAAGTTGTTTAACATGTCATTAAAATCAGGTGTAGTACCAGAATCCTGGAGGATAGCGAATGTAATACCGATTTTCAAGAAGGGGGACAGATCACTATCCTCTAACTACCGCCCAATCAGTCTAACATCAATAGTAGGCAAATTACTGGAAGCAATCATTTCAAACTCTATACTAAATCACCTGGAGAAGCAGCGATTGATCAATGATCCCCAGCATGGCTTCACAAGCGGACGTTCATGTCTAACTAATCTATTAATATTCTTTTCATCAGTTTTCGAATCGGTGGACGAGGGGCACAATTATGATGTGGTATATGTCGACTTTAGCAAAGCCTTCGACAGAGTCCCCCACGAAAGACTAATTAGAAAGGTAGAAGCACATGGCATCAAAGGTAACATCCTTAAATGGATTAGGGCGTGGTTACAGGATAGGAAACAGAGAGTGAGCATTAACAGCACTATTCCCATTGGAGCAACGTCACAAGTGGAGTTCCCCAAGGTTCAGTAATTGGACCATTATTATTTATTATATACATAAACGACATAGATATCGGCATAGACAGCAACATAAGTAAATTTGCTGATGACACTAAAATAGGACGTGTTATTAAATCTGACGAGGACTCCGCAAAACTACAGGAAGATCTAAACAAATTTTTCGAATGGTTTGAAAAATGGCAGATGAAATTCAACGTGGACAAATGTAAAGTACTCAGTATAGGAGATGTAAACAGGGAAACCAGATACCAGATGAACAACGATGCCATAGAGAAATCCGACTGCGAGAGAGATTTAGGAGTAATGATAAGTAGGAACCTCAAGCCAAGTAAAAAATGCGTTTTTGCTGGTAACAAGGCTAATAAAGTACTTGGGTTCATACAAAGGAGTGTTAGTTACAAGACTAGCGAGGTCATCCTAAAACTGTATCTTGTGCTTGTGAGACCACACCTGGATTAAGCAGTTCAGTTCTGGTCACCGTATTACAGGATGGATATAGAATCTTTGGAAAGAATTCAGAGGAGAATGACAAGACTAATCCCGGGCATTCGGAACCTTGAGTATAGAGACAGGTTAAAGCATCTTAATTTGCACTCCCTCGTGAGACGTATAGCGAGGGGCGACCTGATAGAGGTGTATAAGTGGAAGTCAGGGCTAAACAAAGGGGACATTACAAAGGTACTCAAACTATCCAACCAGGAGCGAACTCGTAACAATGGTTTTAAATTAGACAAATTTAGATTTAGGCGTGAAATAGGTAAATACTGGTTTGGAAACAGAGTAGTGGATGAATGGAACAAGTTATCAAATATCATCATTAACTCGAATACGCTGAATAGCTTCAAACATAGGTTGGATGCTTATATGAGCAATAGGAGTTGGGTGTAAACGGGACTGCCCAGTATGGGCCAATAGGCCCGCTGCAGTTTCCTCCATTCTTATGTTCTTATGTGTGTGTGACCTTGGCCGTGTGGGAAACGAGTGGCCATCAGTTGTGTTTGTGTGAGTAATGTCCTTCATGGTTATCAGAGCTGTAAAAATAACTGTTGTTCTGGGCTATCGCTCTCCTTCTAAACACACACACACACACTTGTTATCTGTAGAATGTCAAGTGGATATTTCGTTATTTTCTTCTCTTTTTTACTTTAATCTTATAGTTTTGTTGCAGTTTATATACCCTATAGAGACATGCGATTAAAAGTTAAAATAGATAATGTGTGTCCATTTGTGTATTGAGGTGGTCAGTTCGGGCAGCACATTCACCAGCAGTTGTTATTAAATAAAGTTCTGATGTTGTGTTGTTTCCGTGTGTTGATGATGTCACTGAGGTAGATGAGCAATACGGAGTAACTGGACTACAATAGATAGTATATGACGTATAATAACGGTTTTTCACAAATACCTTCGTAACGATTAATGAACCACTGTTAAGTAAAATAAAATCGCAGGATTCTGGCATTCTTAAAGATGGTGTATAGAAGGCTTGTGTTCGACTCATTTGTGGGACCTTATCACAGGGTGACATAAACAACGTTAGGGCGCTGGGAAAGGTGGCATATGCACTTGCCTAAACATATTTTCATGTTTCAAGCATGCTTGTGTGTGTGTGTGTGTGTGTGTGTGTGTGTGTGTGTGTGTGTGTGTGAGAATTATAAGTGATATGACCACCAAGCGTGTATATAAGAGGACGACGACCTTCCTCCCGCAGTTGTTTCTTCCCCATCAGACATGGCTGGTATCCCGGTGAAGACCTGCTTGCTGGGGGCCTTCACTCTCACTCTCCTCCAGACAGGTATTTCACACTTCAGTCCATCGGTAATGAACTTTTTTCGAAGACGAGTTGAGAGACAGTGATCATCGCTTGTGAAGTTATTCTTTCGTCAAAGACGACGTTGTTGCTCTAGCACGGTGGAAATTTCTCTATTATCTAAGGACAAGATAGGTGTGATTCAACTTATTTTGATAGTGTTGGGTTACAGGGGCAGCAGTGACTCAGTGTGACAATGTGGTGATCGTCAACGAATGGCAGACCGGATACCAGGCAAACTTTGTTGATAAAGCTCCTGTGGATATTAAGCCTGACAATGGTGGCCTAACTATGCAGTGGACTTTCAGCGCCCCCGTAACTTTCCTGGAGGTAAGTTTATGCTGTTTTTTTTCGTGATCTGATATAACTGTGCTGTAAATTACCAGAGTTCACTGAAAGTACTGAATGTCTTTTTATATGGAGGAGTGGCGAGGAGTAGGGTTATTGATAATAAGTAAATTTTCAATACTTACAATAAAAATCTTTTGTTCGAGTGTAGGCTATTTAGTTTCATAACTGCTCATGATAAAGGAATTTTGAGAGTGGGGAAGTACTAAATGCAATCTTTAAGACACATGATGTTTGGTTTTGAAGTGAAATATTTCAAAGGACAGCTTTATGACCTTAACAGATATATGTAACGGTGCTGCTGATTTTAATTGTACGGGCACTTGACAATACAAAAGAAGATATAATATAAATTTTGATATTATCATGAAGTCATATTATTCCTGGTAATCTGAAGTATGTGTGTTTTTCGTGACAGTTTTTCCAGGGACCGACGGTCCAGGTAGATGAACGACACTTTACCCTCACCAGCCAAACTGTGAATTTGCACGAAGACGATGACTTTATTTTCACCTTCCTGGTTCACTTCGCTGGAGATAAAGCGATTCTCGTTAGTGAGACGTTGAACGGCATCCCCATCTGCAGTACGTGCCGCTACTTGTATTTATGTCTAGAGTCATCAGGCTACCAATAAAAAAACATATATCTGCAAATAAGGAACATAGAAACAAACGTGAAATTAACAGTGGATAGGTAAATTAAATATTGACTCATAAATTTCATGGACCATTTTCTGGAGTAGCGCTGAATGTTGAATGGATGAGAAGTTATTAATCTGCTATGGCTACCTGTGGTGTAATGTTCAGTATACTCGTCTCGCAAGCGAGCGAACCCGAGTTCGGTCCGCGGGCAGGGTGAAACTGTGGGCAAGTATCTTTACGCCATTTGCGTTTGTCTACCCAGCAGTAAATGGGAACGAAACTGGTTGTTAATCGATTTGAGGATCGCATTCCGGGGTAATGGTTAGCCAGTGTAGTTGGCGAGTTGTCCGGTCTTCTTGGACTATTCCTTGACACTGGGTCATGCAGATCGTTAACTTAGAGTGTGGTTGTTGTGTTGGCGACAGCTTCTACACCTGCACCTCGACATTACTAACTTCGACATTAGTAATGTCGAGGTAAGGAACGAACTTGCTAACAGAGCAGAAGCAAGGAAAATCCACTGAAGTCCCAGATTTCAGAAGGGCAAACTTTGATAGTTTGAAGAGGCAGCTGAGAGAAGGGTATCGCGCTTGGGGGTGAATTACGTGACTTCACACAGTGTACCCACAGAGAGAGACACCACCTTACATGGGGACCTGATAACCAGATCTGAGGTTGACGAGTTCCACAAGAATTTAAATAATGAGTTACTTTATGCAAAAAGGCAAAACATACCATACAAAAAACTCAGATCAAACAACAATGACCCTAAATGGATAAATAATTATTATAACGTGTAAGAAAAGCAAAGAGGATTACTGAAATGAAGATAGCAAAGGTGGCGAAGGCAAACCCCAAGGGATTCTATCAAAGTATGAAACTAAAACACGAGAAAAGATTGGACCAATACAGACAAATACCAGCAAACTAACTGATAACGACGGAGAAATGAGCAATAATTTGAATAAATATTTTTCAACAGTTTTCACCACCGAAAATTTAAACACGATACACGAGGCCCCGACTCTATACAGAAATAGTGAAGAAAATAAATTAAGCGAGAAATAAGTGACTAGTAACGATGTTAGTAAGCAAATAGACAAACTAAAGCCTCATAAGTCACCAGGTCCCGATGAGATAGAGTATTAAAAGAATGTAAGGAGGAGCTTAGTATGCCCTTAGCAAGGAATGTAAGGAAGAGCTTAGTATGCCCTTGCCAAAATTGTTTAACATGTCTTTAAAAACGGGTGTAGTACCAGAATCCTGGAGGATAGCTAATGTAATACCGATTTTCAAGAAGGAAAGATAGATTACTATCTTCTAACTCCCGCCCAATCAGTCTAACATCAATCGTAGGTAAATCACTGGAAGCAATCATTTCAAACTCTATTCGAAATAACCTGGAGAAGCACAAGTTGATCAATGATTCCCAACATGTCTTCACAAGCGGGCTCTCATGTCTAATTTATTAACATTCTTTTCATCTGTTTTCGAATCAGTGGACGAGGGGCACAATTACGATGTGGTATATCTCGACTTTAGCAAAGCCTTCGACAGAGTCCCCCACGAAAGACTAATAAAAAAGTCGAGGCTCATGGCATTAAAGGATATATTCTAAAATGGATTGGGGTGTGGTTAAAGAACAGGAAACATCGAGTGAGCATTAACGGCACTAAATCTCATTGGAGCAACGTCACTAGTGGAGTTCCCCAAGGTACCATACTTGGACCATTATTATTTATTATATACATAAACGACATAGATATCGGCATAGCAGCAACATAAGTAAATTTGCTGATGACACTAAAATAGGGCGTGTAATTAAATCTGACGAGGACTCTGCAAAACTTAAAGAAGATCTAAACAAATTTTTCCAATGGTCTTAAAAATGGCAGATGAAATTCAATGTAGACAAAAGTAAAGATAATCAGTATAGGAGATGTAAACAGGGAAACCAGATACCAGATGAACAACGATGTTATTGAGAAATCCGACTGCGCGAAAGATTTAGGAGTAATGAGAAGTAGGAATCTTAAGCCAAGTAAACAATGTGTATTTGTTCGTAACAAGGCTAATAAAGTTCTTGGGTTCATACAATGGAGTGTTAGTTGCAAGACTAGCGAGGTCATCCTAAAACTATATCTTGCGCTTGTGAGACCTCCTCTACGATTACGCACTTCAATTCTGGTCACCGTATTACAGAATGAATATAGAATCCTTGGAAAGAATTCAGAGGAGAATGACAAGACTCATCCAGGGCATTAGGAACCTTGAGTACGGAGACAGGTTAAAGCATCTTAATTTGCACACCCTCGAGAGACGTAGAGTGAGGGGCGATTTGATAGAGGTGTATAAATGGAAGTCAGTGTTAAGCAAAGAGGACATTACAAAGGTACTCAAATTATCCAATCAGGAGCGAACTCCTAACAATAGATTTAAATTAGACAAATTTAGATTTAGGCGCAAACTAGGTAAACATTGGTTTGGAAATAAAGTAGTGGACAAGTGGAACAAGTTATCAAATATCATCATAAACTCGAATACGCTGGATAGCTTCAAACATAGGTTGGATGGATATATGAGCAATAGGGGTTGGGAGTAAATGGGACTGCCCAGTATGGGCCAATAGGGCCGCTGCAGTTTCCTCCATTCATATGTTCTTATGTTGTTAAACAAATTCACGCCTAGGTGGCCCTTGGGTCGGTCACCCTCGATTTGTCTTCCATTGTTATATATATATATATATATATATATATATATATATATATATATATATATATATATATATATATATATATATATATATATATATATATATATATATATATATGTAACCGGTCGGAATTTACTGGACTTTATTTTCTCACTTGACTTGGGGTTTATTAAAGATTATTAGATGGTAATGCAGTGGAAGCGCCCCTTTGAGAAAAATCCCGAACCAGCACAAGAACACTTAAATCTACTAAACAAAATGAATTGTCCGTGACCCGTGGAAGGATAGCGTCTGTGACTGGGATGAATGAGACACACTGTAAAATTTAGACACTTATATTCCCTCCAACACTACAAACACAATCAAATAATGGTACACCAATATGCGCACCTCTTAACTTGAACTTAAAACACTACTCTGGGGAATAAAAGTTATACATGATATTGAAATTATTAGAAACTCAGGCAACAATGAATTTAAAGTATTAAGAAATGTTGCTTGCACACATGAAACAGGCCTTAAGGGCTTTCAACAAAATTATATCACCCCAACAGATGCACAATTTCTAACCTAACTTAAACACTACTCTGGGGAACAAAGGTTATACCTGAGATCGGAATTATAAAGAAAAATTAAATGCATTAAAAGAATTAAATCACAGTATCACTCTGGTTCCGCTTAGTGACACAACATTCAAAAAACAATACTATCAAAATTATTTAAGAAATATTAAACCACACACGTCAAGATAACATCAGTAACTGAGAAATGGTATTAACTACACACAAATATAGTCACTATTATTGATATGTTACTGGGTCCACCAATACTCGTGAACCATGCTCCACCCAACTCAACATACACCCGTAATAAGGGAGATAAAATGTTCCTCTAGGTATCTCCTAGAGTCCTAGACTCATGGTCTCAGTGTGCGACCATTAATTTACTCAGATAGCCTCAGTGTACTCCCAGTGCGTCCATGGGCAGGAAGAGAGAACGCCAGCAGGTGTCTATGGCCAGTAGGTAACACTTCTAGCTGACCGAGGACACGTGGTGTTGTGCACCCACGTGGTAAGAACTGATCACCCACTGCTGATGCTGGTCCCGTGTCGTTTTAGTTGTCGGAAGCACTCATTCACTCAAGAGATCCTTTGCTACCCCGCTAACCA